ACTTATTTTGAAGCCAAATAACAAGCTCTATTTCAAGTCTCATGAGTAACAACAAAAGAAGAACGTTGTTTTCAGTCAGAGATTTTTCAATGGTGTTTTTTGTTTGCTTGGCTTGCAGATCACCAACCCACCATTTTACGAGATGAAACAGTTCCCAAAATACCTTCAAAAGGTGACGAAGTAACCGCATTCAAATTATTCTTCATGCATCACATTCAGACTTCAATCATATCATCATCCCACACAACAAAAAGAACTCACGGATACAGATGGTGGCTCCCTTCTACATTTGTTTTGCAGATCAGCCAGGGCTCATTCTCATACCGCAGCTACAGAGCTGGCAAATGACACTCCTCTTTCAGGCTCCAATCCAGCGACTACTGAAGCCAGGAGGGAGCATTGCAAAGATTCCACATTGCAACAAGCCTCCCTTAAGCACCCACGTATGGTGGGCAGGCAAAGTCATCTGGAAAGGCACCAGCACCTCACCAGCCAGGACACTGATCCTGCCTCCACCATTTGCTTTTTAAGTTGTCTTTGTGCTCCTTAGCATCACACAAGTCACGCGTAAAGACAGGAGAGAGATACTCAGGAACCACACTCCTGGGTAGCAGAGAAAGGGTTAGAAAGCAAGAGAAAGACTCCTTACTCACTGTCAGCATTGGTCCACAAGCAGCAGGACTGAGATTTCCATCCTGTGTCCTGATGTTAAAAGGCAAACATCTGACAATTTATGCATCGAGAGCCGCTCAGCTTACAGGCTAAATAATAAAACTATGCAATTACTTAATTGTATAGTCTGGAAGCAATCCTTCAAACCAGAGGCTTTGTGAATAGCCTTGCATTTTATTTTATCCTCTTTCAAAAAAGAACCTTTTGCATGTTGTGGCATATTATTAACATGTAAGAGCACATATATTCCACTTCTGTTTAGTTTAAGACAAACTCAGTATAATAACATTTACTTAAAAATTACTCAAGTAGGTAGGCTAAAGAACTTGGTGTTATTTATTGCATGGCATATACAGTTTTCTCAGGTGGCCAAAGCTACCAAACCCAAAAACTCCAAGAAAAGGTGGCTGATAAGGAGAGAAGAGCACACACTCCCTGTTAGCCAGCAGGAAACCCAAAGGGGAGAGAGAAATTTGAAGCCCAGCTTCAAGCCTTCTGTTACACACAGAGGTTTACTCTGAGCATGATCAAACCTCTATATACAAGACCACAGTTCACAAGCGAAAATATGTGCACTTTTTGAAACACAAACTGAAGGCACTCACAGAAATATCGACTACCAACAACCAGCAGAGAACTGTTATCTGCTCATTTTGCTTTTTAAAGTTCCTCCTACAGTTTTTAAATGTATAAACAAAACAAAAAAAGAAGCAAAAAAACCCACAAAAAAAAACACCTCAAAAAACCCCCACCCTACTAAAATGTTTCTGGCCCTCACCAAAAAGGCTATCTAAGAGAAGTTTCCAGGATTCTTAGTTTTGGTACTACCCAAGCCTGAACTCAGAACAAATGGAGACACGTTACAAACAATAAAAAGAGCTTATCCAGAGCCCTGTGAAGCAGCTTGTTTAAACTTAAAATAACTTCTAAAGTATTTGAGAACAAATGGGGGGAACCAGTATTATGACATTGAAAATTATCTGCAATATTGCACTAACAAATACAAGTAAAAACTTTGTCTAAAAGAGGGACTTGACGGTACATACTAAATCTTACCTCAGAGGCCTTACCTAGTTTCTTTCCTCTTTGTGAATGGCTAATAAGCTGTTCTATTACTAAAATCACATTTTTGGTAGATATTTAACACTTTCTGTTAACTATTCTTTCAAGTAAAAAAAAAAAGCATACTGCAAAGAACAGCACCCAAATAACTACACTTAGCAACAAAATAATACTAACCTTACCCTTCAGAAGAAAGCCACAGCATAGGGAAATTAAACAGCTCTTGGAAACCACTGCTAGAAACACATTAAGACGGAACTACCTCCATACGTGGTGTTTATTGGATTATCAGAAGTAACACCTGTGGCTGAAAGCCTGTTAAGCTGTTGCAGTCCTCATGGATGTTATTTTTATAGTGTATGTGTGTGTGGTTTGCTTTGTCCTGTTCTCTTTTAAACCATAGAAGAAGAAGTTCCAGGTCTACGTCAGTGTTTTTATGGGTGCACGGTTAATAAATGTTCCTGAAAACCTGACTGTAGTACGCATGTAGTCAGAATTCCAGGGGAGGGAAAACTGCTCAGTGTAAGATATGGCAAGTCAAACATGAACCTAAGAGGATCTTTATAGTAGATTATATCATAAAAGTCTTACAGTAATTGAAAATTATAAATATAGTCCTTATCCACAAAGGTTTATTTGCTGTCCTTCTGTCTATGAAAAAAGACTAATTCATGTTTTGAGTAAAAAGGAACTGATATTGACGTAGTAATTGCTGAGTGTGTAGAAGTGTGATTTAAATAAAGGGTGAAAACAGATGGAGGAAGCATAGCACATGAAGGTCTGCTCTTCTGTTTTTCCTCTTTTAATTAGTAGTTCCTTGTACTTGGCCTGCTCTCTCTTCCTTTGTGCTGGTATTCAGGACACATGCCTCTTCCCTTCCATGCCTTCTGAGCAACCAGGCTGACCTCATAATCTATGATAGACTTGTAGTTGCTTTTTAACACTGAATTCCCGTGGACAAGATGTATTTAGCATCTCTAGAAATTGTAGTGATGTAAAAATAACCTTTTTTTTTCTCCTCATATACAGACATCTATTACAGTAGTCATCACCATCTTGTCTAAACTCCGGTTGCTCTTTCCTTAGCGGCTTTCCTGACTCAGTTCAAGGGTTGTGACAACTGTCATCATCTCATGCACAATTCCTAAGGTCAGACTGTTGGTGGCATTCAGGTACCTACTTTGATTTTCAAAAGCACTGCCATAAGTTAGGAAACTTAATGTCTTTGAAAACTAGCCCCATAATAATCCTTGTCCCCAATTCAACCCTTATGAAGAGCTTATCAAGGTCTGTGAAATGTATTGTTTTTCTTGTCAGGCCTCGTCTGAAAATGGACTAGAGCACATTTACCCTGGAATGTAGGGCAAATTATTGATGTCAAGAAATGCGTGAGAACCTGACTAAAAGGAAGAGCAGGTTGGAGTCAGTCCCAGTCCCAGGCAAACGAAAGCATTTATAGCAGGAAACGTAGGTAGGGTGGATCAGACATACACTTCCAAACTTCCCATTTCTGCCAAGCAGCAGACACTTACAAACCCTTATGATCTTCAAAAGAACTACCTATGAGGTTAGAGACCCTATTGATATAGACTAGTTTCTAATCAAGAGCGTCAGAGCTCTTCCAAAAATACGCTGACTAGCATCATAGGTGGGCAGCTGTACTCTTGACTAGGCACAGGGAAAAATGACAAGGTCAAAGACTAGTAAAACTTTTTAGTTTTATTAAAAAATGTCAGTTGCATCCCTCCTTTGCTTCTGTTTGATTGTGTGGGATTTTTTTCTATTTTTCTGTGCCATAGAGTATTTTTGGGTTAGTGAGCTCTGAAAGCAAATGTAAGCAGCAACCACAAAGCAATTATCAAGAAAACACGCTGAGCAAACAGCATATCTTTTTACCATGAGTCTTCCTTTCTCAGAATGACAGACCAGGCTTCAGCAATCCCGTCAGCTTGTGTGAGATACAAGAAATGCCTGCCAGAAGCTGATTTCCTCTGGATGTCTTAAATGGACATGACAATGGTGTCTGCAAGCCTGCTGCTCCTGCAGGGCTGTGTTTTCTTTGTGACAAGCGATACTAAAGGCAAAAGACCTTCAGGCTCATTAGCTCAGATACAGTTATAGTTAAGCAGAATTGAAGAGAAGCTTTAGCTCCAGGTTTATTTTCTGAATAAGAATTCTTAAGGATAAGGTACCTTCTTAGATCTATGAAGAGAGTTTTAGAAGTTTTGAAGTTTAATTCCACTCAGAAATATCAGTCTGCATCAGGAACAGCCTACATGCAGAATCTGACATTAACTTGACTTTCAACTCCTGCTTGAAGTTTCAGACTTAGAAGTTTGATACATAGACAAATAAAAGGATTGATCAGGTAAACTGATCCTGTCAAATAATAATGTTTATTTCAGTTACAACAAGCATAAGTTTCTCTTACATTACTAAGGCACAGAAGGAAGGACTGAGTATGTTGCTGGAGGTTAAAAAAAGAAAAATGTAAACAAAACCATTCAATCAGTAGTTCAAGTAACCAACCCATGGATCCTTTCCCTTCTCCTGTAAGATTCTGAATTCAAACACAAGTCAAATCAGCAGTACCTGACACCCCAGCAACTGCTTTGGTGACCTAGATGAAAGGAAACAATGGTTCTAGAGCAGATTCTTGTGGAGAAATTTAGCAAAGGTGAAAATCAGGTGATAAAGAAGTTGAACTGATGTTGCTTCGTATGTTTGAAATACTGTGGGAAGAGACTTTTCCTTATCCTGCTGTCATTGAGTTGTACTCGCTTTCCACATGGTGTTTCCACAGTTGTCTGCATTCTTTTCTTCCTTAACACTGAAGGATTATAAAGGAATGGATCAGCTTTCCAAGTGAGTTGATTCCTTTCTATGGCCTTACTTGTATAGGTGAACAAGCAGTAAAAAGATCCGGTAAAGAAGAAAGTGTAAAGTTTGTCTTGGGAAGACTTTGAAATATCTGAAGATACTGAAACACGGGCTGAATGGTAGGTGACTAGTTGCGTTCCTCACAGTCAGTGACATGACTCTGTCCCCTGTTAACGGTGAAATTCTCACTACCAGCTGTGGCAGCAGGGACAGGTATAAGGTACAACCTTCCCAAGGTAGACTGATTACTCTAAGCAGCACACACTAATATGGTAGGTTCTGTGCTATAATTTAGTAAAATATTACCATAACACAAGTGGAAAACTGTTAGTTTGTTAGTGCCCACTATAGAATTGAAACTTACTACCCACCCTCACCCCCAACCCACAAGCCTTAGGATGTCTTTCTGGATAATACTGCTTTCTCTCAGTGAAATGCTGAAATTCCTGTTTTGTTTTGAGTAACTAATTTCAGTTGTCTGTCTTCTTGCTGGCAGATCATCTTCATTTTCCAGTCCTAGCAACTGCCTGAATTGCTCTGATCCACTCTGTACGCTCTGTGGATGAGGCTGCTTGCAAATAATAGTGAATTTCATTTGCTGTGATGATTTCAAAGAGGATGTTGTCAACATCATACTTCTTGGCTACAGGGAAGAAATAAGGAAGTCAACTATGAGAGAATAAAGTCTTGTATTTACAATGTTTCTTCCTTTACACATTGTAAGGGGATTTCCTTCCTTTCTATAGCTGTGCCTGAAGAGGCCTTCGCAAACAGATTGCAAGATTGGGTCCACGAGACAGGTCTCTCTATTGGAGAAACAACCCATGAATTCTGCACATTTCACCTTCAGGAGTCTCTGGTTAACTGATCTCCAATCATGGAAGTATCTGCAATCCTGCAGACAGGTCATATTTCTCAAACCCTCCTGTGCCTTGCCAGCTACAAAAACCAAGATGTTTATGTTCATGTCACATCCAGAATCTCTGTTTCTTTTCATATCTGCCAGCACAGCCTACACAGGTGCTGAGATGCGAGCAGACTTTCTTGCTGGGTATGATAGTCTGCCTCTCCCATGGAGAGCATGGAATAAGTGTTTCTTATTCTTTGCAGCAATGTTTAGCCATTGCTGTTCCCACAACTTCCAGGTTTGGGAGGGAACAGAAAGTGAACAGTAATAATTTGTTCGCACAACCATTTCTAACATAAAGCTTCCATCCCAAATTCATCAAGTAAAAAGAGCAAACTCAGCTTACTTCGTCTAAGGCCAGTTATCCTAACATTGGGATGGTGTCATGCTTTTGATAAGCCTTCTCTCAACAACCGACAAAACACAAGATTCCCTGTTACTACCTTTACCACAGTATCCTTCTCCAGTAATTAAGACAGCAATAGAGAGACTAGTTACTAGAAGAATTACTGAATCATTGCACATAGATTGCTTTTGAGTAAAACCCACTTGTGATTTCAGGCAGATTGAAAGAATGTACTAAAAACTTATTACACAGCTCATTCAATATGGTTCCTTACAGTCTGGCATATCTTCCACTGCTGTCACCACGCATCCTCTCAAGTGAATTGCACCTAGTGGTTCTTCTCCCTGGTGAGGACACAAAATCAAAATGAAATGCAACACTTCTGAAACTGTTCACGTGTTAATGTCTGGCTACAACTCCAGAATGGAAACAGAAACATCTGCTGACTTAGTATGTCACCTGGTAAACCAGGGAATCCTCACTCTGTGTGTGACATGGAGGGTGGGGTGTGTAGTAGGGAGAAGACGTGCAAATAAACAGGAAATCTCTTTTAGGACTTGGAATTCAGGATCTGCAGAGTATTTAGCATGTCCTGAACAAAGGTACAAGAAGAATACAAGCCTTGTGCCAACTATAACATTTCTATGTTACAGTGAACAGAAAAAAAAGACTAGTTAGAAAAAGAGTAGATCTTAGAAGTATTCTTACCAAGCAGCAAGAGCAGCTATACCCTTAATTACAATTTGGCCTCTTGTGCACTTCAGGACTGTGATAGTCAAAGAACGGGTGAAGATGCATTTTTATTGGCATAAATTTCAAAGAAGCAGTCCCTATAAGCTGAGACACCTCAGCCGTTTGGGAGCAGATGCCAGGAGCGGGAAAGGCAAGCTGGGAATAGGGAGGTCAGAAACTCCTCAGTGTTGATTCTCCAGTGTGTCTAGGCTGCCCCTGCCAAGGGGGACAGGCATCTGCATAAAGCACCTGGAACCCATAACACACAACTTCTCCTGCAGCAATCCAGGATGAAATAAAACCCATAGGCTGAATCTACCTGAATGCCAGCTCTTGGGAGGCAGGTTTTGCCCATGGCAATACTCCTTCCTTTCTTAGGGCAGGGTTTGGCTTATTAGAATTACACAAGAAATGGAATGCCATGTCTCAGCCTGACACAGAAAATACCTCAATATAAACTCCAAAATGACTGTATTGTGTAAATTTGCAATTGTGACCTAGAGACCTTTTCCAGAGGATGGCTAGGGCGTGTGAGCACAAACAGCTCCACTGTCCTGCTTGGTCTTCCCTATCACACATTCCCATGCAAATACTCCATTCAGATACTTCTACAAGGCATTGTCTTTAAAACAAACAGGGAAATAAACCAAACATCTCTTACTCCAGCAGGATCATAGTAATGAAGATACGCAGGGTCATCTCTTAAAACAAACTTTCTCACTTTCCAGTTCTTCCTCCGATGTCCCTAGGAAAATTCAAAACCAGGAATGACGTGAACTGCTTTGCCTGCAAGCACTTACAGTCAGCTTACACATGAGAGAACAGGCAAATACAGAAGGGAACAGTATTAATATTCTGGACAGAAAATATTCACTGGAACAGGACTTGGATCCGGGCTTTCTACATCCCACTTTTTTGCACAACAACTGGGCTATCACACTGGTTTGTCTTTTTATTTTTTGTACAAAGTAGAACAGCTTCAACACGGGAGATTCCCCTAAACACATCTCATAGGCTGGTAGCTATGACATTCACACGAGGTGTGAGAACTGGGCTTAAATGCTTGCCAGAAAACATGGCTGCGAAATGTGTTGCAGGAAGGTACCTTGAACTATAGGCAAGAATGAGCTGAAGGTTCTTCTCTCCCTGCAAAAACAACAAAAAAGACTTCCTTGGCTCAACCACCCTGTAGAGTGTTCATTGCTGAGAAGCTCAAGCAGAAATAACACCACCTTCTGATATGGATGTAAATGCCTTATTGCTTTCAGCAGATCTAGATTTTCCTTACCCATCATTTCAGTCTTGGAAACAGGCATTCTCAGCGGAAGCAGCGACACTTCCAAGCCACGATTCACAACTCACTGAGGGTGACCAAATCCAGACTAAGACTGGTGGAAGACTGTCGTGAATCACTTCCTCTCAGCATTTCAAAATATTAATTTCTCAATGAACTATGCTGTTTGTGTAGTTACTAACTAGGCAGAGGTGAATGTGACAGGGCAAAAGTTAGCAGAAAGATGCATATCTAACTTCTTCCATTGCTTTTGAGTAATCTGATTGAGCAAGAGAAATACAAGTGCACATCACCAAACAGTTCTTTAGCCCCCAAGGGATTTTTTATCAGTGGAAGTTCAGACTTGATATTAGGAAACATTTCTTTACAGAGAGACTAGTCAAACACTGGAACAGGCTTCCTGGAGAGGTGGTTGATACCCCGTGTCTGTGTCAGTGTTTAACAGGCATTTGGACAATGCCATAATAACACGCTTTAACCTTTGGTCAGCCCTGAAGGGGTCAGACACAGTTGGACTAGATGATCATTGTAGGTCCCTTCCAACTGAACTGTTCTGTTCATTGAAGAATCCTGGTCTTGCTTTCAGTTCACTAATATCTTTTTGCATTGGCCTCAAAAAGTAAGGATCTTACCAGGACGCTCACCATATTGCTTAATTTTTTGCTGGAAAGGAAGGTACACAGTTATCTTCCATCTTACAGATGTGACAGGATCAAACATTAGTGACCGAAAGGACTGCTTTGCTCAGGTATGCTGAAAAAGTCTGTGAAAACTGGCAACTGAATCCAGTTGTGTGTCCAAAGGGACACTGGATCGGCAGCATTTTTACCTGAGTTCAGTTCTGCATTATACCAATGACTTGTCACATCTCCTGCTTTAGCGCTCTTTCCAAATTAAAACTATAAACTGTCTTATTTTGTAATAAGAGCAATAAACCTTACAACATTGGGCAAAAGCCCTGCTGCCATGCTACAGCAAGTGTTCTCGATGCGAAGGTAAGAGGAACAGAGACAAAACCAGTCAAGCATGGAGACGGCATAAACTAGTTTCTTCTCTACAGCTTTTAGGTATAAAACAGTAATCTTGTATCCATGCAACATCATCCCCGTGACAAGATGGAACATGTGCAATACTGACCTGTTTCAGCAGACATCCTTGTTTGACTACCATGCCTCTGAATTCTTCTTTCAGGACCACATCATCATCACTAGAATTTCCTTCGCAGAAAAACCCACTGTCTGGCTGCATGACCACAAAAGAAAATTCAGACGTTACACAGCTGCTGCATGTTTATGCACATGTACAAATCTGGTTACTTGTTAGCTTCCCTCCACCCTCTTTTTTGCCACCCAAAACATCAACTCTTTTACTGGAAAAATCTCCCAGTGAAGTTGAGGATCTCTCCAAGTCACCATGGAAGCGTTATAGTGTGAGGTAGGACTACACCAATGAGTCTCAGGGCATCTGAGGAGACCTGGAGCATCTGTGTATATGTCAGTGCCTCCATTCTCCATGATTCTTGGTGTCACGTTTCCTCCATGATGGACAGGCTGCCTCAATCCCATGATGGCACAGGTTTTTAAATGCACAGATAGCAGTTCATATGAAGCAATGCCAGCACAGCCAATACACTCCAGGTTGGCCATCCCTGGACCCAACAGACCCTTCCTCTTCCTCCATCCATCACAACCATCTAGAATTCAGGAATAAAAAAATGCTCCATCTAGGCTGTCTTCTCCAACAACAAGAACTGTCCCTAGTTTTCTAAATTCTCAGTTTTCGATAGCTGTGATGTTGTGATGTGTGCACTGAGCATAGGCTGTCTCAGGATCCATGGATCACATCTATTTCACACCAGATAAATTGTGATGTTACTTACTGAAACCTTACACTGTTCAAATGATGTAAATGTAGATAAACATTTGTGTGGCTTAAACATCTGTGGTGCCTACTTGTACGATAGCAAGTCAGACATTGACCTGCTGTGACCTCCTCACACCACATTGGTATTGAACCAAACTAGAAACAAGCCAAAAGCGAGCAGAGTGCACATGGGTTGCTAGAAGTGTCCCAGGTAGCCAGGAACTGTGATGGTCACAAGGCTGCTTTCACCAGCAGTGTCTCTGCTGCCATTGCCACACAGGTGCAGTCTCCCTACTAGGGACACATTCTAGGAAAACAAATGAAGTAATGGGAGATTCATTTTGCTGAAGTCAAGTGAGTCTATGAGTCTAAATATAAACAGAATTGTAATATGCAAGCATTTTACTTGACAGAAGGCATACTTTTTTGTTAGCCTCAGTTCATAAGCCAAACATCTTTGAAATAGTATTTGACTGTGAGTGTGATATTGCGAGCACTTCAAATCAATTTACAGCATATGAAGCAATAAATTGAAAAGGTTGGGTAAGCTACCCAGGACATGTGTTATTGGAGGATATTAAAAAGTTTTGCTTCTCCACTTGCAAGCAAACTGTGTGTGTGTGTGCACACACGCTGAGTCAGATTTGATGGCTTTCCACAAAAATGGGTTTGTAGTTTTTGCCACTCAGAGAAGCCCCGTGATAATGAATTACCCTCTTCCCTTCCACTGAATCATCAGAGGAACTGATGGCTAAATTCTGGTCACTGGCGAAATTACCAGGAACAACGTCTAAGTTAAAAAGAACCCAGCTTGATCTCAGCACTCAGGTTACACTTGGAAGGGTGCCAGAAAAAAAAATGTCCTGCTTACAAATGTTTAAGTGAGCCAGTTCATTCTGAGATCATATAGAGAAATACAATTAACATGGATCTCTCAATTTCTGTACAATCTTTCCTCCAGGACTTAAGAAAACCAACAAGCCCGAGTAAAGCAGAGCATCAATAAGCCCGAGACAATAATAATAAAAAAACACAATCCACAGATACAACACTCACAAAGTAATAGTAGGCATCAGTGAGATCTAAGAAGGGTGTGTCTGACAGGCCCTCGGCAGCAGCCTTGGATGTATCTCCTGCAGGCTGTAGGTAGCCTTCACTCAAGAGGGAAGAGGCAAGCATGAGACCTTCTTTGCGATTTCGGACGGAGTTGCTAGACACCAGCCAGTCAATCACAGAGGTGCCTGGTTACAGAGGAACAAACAATATCAGCCACAAATGAAGACAGACATGAAGAAGCCTAAAAATACACAGGCAACAAACCTACTCCTTGTATTTACCAACGTCCTGAAAGATGTTCTTAGTGATAAAGCAGAGGGCTAATCTGGAAAGGTGCCTGGGTCATCCAGTGAGGTACAGCCAATCTGACTGCTGGCAGGGGCCTGCACAACTCTTGAACACTGTACCTGATGGAGAAGAGAGCTGGGAGGGGATGCGGGGCTGAGCTGGGAAGCCTCAGAGACAGGGACTAGGGAAGTACAAAGGACAGTCAAGCCTGGAGCAGGCAGTCTTCCAGGCTGCTGTGTTACTGACACAGTGCTGTCAAAACAGGTGACTTTTGACTCTAGCACCCACAGATTTGACTTGGAGCAGGACAGGAATCACATACATTGTGATGCAGCTTGTTGACAGAAAATTCAGAAAGGAATAATTCTTTTGGAGTTAAGTGTTTCATGCAACTTTCTACAAAGATCTACTTAAATCTTTCTGGCACTGGTTAAATTTCTTCATCCTCTCTTGCTTGCCATGGCCATAACTGAACACTTTTTCAGGCTTCATCCTTTGAGAACCTCCTGTGTTGGTCAAGAAAACATCTGCCAGGTTTTCTTCTCAAATCTCTCTACAGAGCTTAGAGCTGTTTTATCTATATTTAGCCTCTTGGCCCTGTGCTCCCTTTATTGTATGGAAAAGAGGGACAAGAGCTCCTTACCTGTAAAGCAGTGATTGAACACTTTTTTATCTTTTTCCAGCTTCAACTCCTTTATTCCCTTTTCAGGATCTTTCATTGAGAGGTACAAAGCACTGTGCATAAAAGAACCACAGAAAAGGTTAGAAAACAAAAAACTTTAGCCAGTTCATACAATAATATCATTGTCATTCATGGTGTCGTCATGTTTTGCTAGCATATTGCTCTCTGCAGAGCTATAGCATGGCTTAGTTTAATTTCCTGAAAAATTTACATTGCAAAGCCTGAAGGCCTCACAACTTCACTGTCGCAGCTGCAGGAGTAGAGGGGCGAGCACACGAACAGCTCACCACACCCCCATATTTTGAGAACGGAACAACCTGTGGTGGCTGTAGTGTGAACAGAGGAACACCCACTGCTGAGGCACTTTCACAGGGCCCCACAGCCTCAGTGCCAACAGGGGAGCTCACCGCTTTGTGCTATGTTCCCCCAAAGGTCCTTGGCCGAGCCGAAAACCTGTGACTGCGTCACCCCCAAAGCCGGCACACTCTCAGAGACCCTAAGTAACCTCACTGAACCCTGGTGTGACTTCCTTCTTCCCATCCGCTTTTCACTTGCTCTGAACTCTAATTACTTGGGGCTCTGGAATGACAAGAAGGACAAATATTAAATATCACAGGCTAAGTCCTTTGGCCTGTTTGTCAGGGTGATCCTCTGTTGACGCCTGTGAAGTCAGATTTAGTTGAATCTTGGCCCTGTGCAGTTTTACTGTCTTGTAAGGAGCACTGGTGGCTCATTCGTATCTTGGTATTTACTGCTTAGAGGCAAAAAAAAGGTTGCCCTTAATTTTTTTAAGTACTGACAAACAGATGGCTTCCTCTGTGTGCCCTTTATTTCTTCTTTTCCCTTTGCCATTTCCTCTGGCAGGCACCACTCTCCCCTCACTATCCAAAAACTAGGCTAACATCAGCATTTCTCTGGGGAGCAAAGAAAAGGTTTAAAATATTTTAGCAATAAGTTATATATTGTATAAAAATGCCTCTCCTACAAGAATCACACTTTGGCTGGGGTCTCCTTTTGCACTGCAGTATGATCAGAAATCTCCTTATCAGCAAAATCCTTTGATAAATAAGCATGTTTTGGTAAAAGATGATGTATTAAAAATGATCTTCCGAGTTCTGATCACTAGGTCATTTCTTCTACATTGTATGCTCTGAAACTGTTAGTCATGCAGAAGCGACTCCGAGTGAAACCAGAGAGGTAGTATGGACAAACATGCTCATAGTTCTTCCAGACCAAGGTGATATTTCTCGCACACAGCCTGCAGATGGAAGTAAATGAGGGAGCAGAGCTATGAGAACAAACCTCAGGTTGATTGTTTCAGGCAGTCTGATAGACTTTCTTGTGGATTTTCTGGCAAACCTTTGGCCTCCATCTATGCAATGAATTGCTTTCTTGATATCCCGTACCCAGGCATCTCTCTCCTCCAGGTAGGCAGCTTGAAAAAAGTGGTCCTGCTGCTTGGCTGCAGTTAGCTTGAAGACAAACTGGAATGACAAATTATGTTTTTTTTAAATGTTACTTCGGTGTAGCCAGTTGGGGACAATTAATCCAGTACCACTACGATGCACAGCCTACCTGTGCCTAAGGGCTATGGAAAGTGCCTTAAAGCCACAGCTAAATTTAAAAAAAATAAACCCAAACTCTGAAGAAAAGAATGAACAGACAGTGCAGGTAACTGACTCCTTTTGTTACTTCTCAACGAGCAATCCTGATGTTGTCAGTACAGCCAAGGTATGTGTCTCGTGGTTTAACGCAGCAGCTGGCAACTAAGCACTAGACAGCCACTCATTCCTCCCTCCTCTTCCCCTCAGCAGGACAGGAAGGAGAAATGGGCAAAAGGGGAAACTTGTGGGTTGGGATAAAGATAGTTCAATGAGGCAACAAAGTAGATATTACTACTAATGATAATAACAATGCTAATCATGAATATGCAAAACAAACTATATAAAACAATTTTTCTCACCACTCAATGACCGATTCACAGTCAGTCCTCAAGCAGTGATCACAGAACCCCGAAATCCCCAGATTTCCCCCAGAAAGATCAAACTCCCGGAAACAAGGAGAGCAGATAGCTCCCTGCACCCTGGCCAACCCCCATTCATAAACTGATCATGACATTTATGGTATGGAATATTTCCATTGGCCAGCTTGGCTATCTGTCTGGCTGTGCTCCCTCTCAGCACCTGCACACCTGTTCCGTACCTGCAAATGGGAAAAAGTCCTTGATTTCATAGCAACAACTGAAACATCAGTGTTACCAACACTCTTCTTGTACTAAATCCAAAACACAGCAGCTGCTGGGAGGAAAATTAACTCTACCCCAGCCCAAACCAGGACAGTGTGGCACTGATATAGCTGCTGATTTTAACTTTTGCTTGGAAATTCAACACAGCTCTGAAAGGCTGAAGTGCCCAGCCCCTGCAGGCTTACAGTGGGTGTAAATTCGTCTTAATGTTTACTGAGATGAGGTCAGCCTGAAGGGGGAAAAAAAACCCACAGTGTGTTGCTCAGCTCCTGATTCACAAGGGGAGAAAAGGTCACAGTCACATCGGAGAGTAGATGAACACATTTGCAGCTTAGCAAACTTTTCAGGGCTTGGTAGGGAGATGATACATCTAACCCTTGGCTACACCTTATGATCACTACCTATCTAAAAACTCTATCAAAAATGGAAAGACTGTATTCCCCCAAAATGAGAGAAGATCTTTTAAAGGTAGTTCTAAGCAGAAAAAAGATAACACCAACCCGAAAACAACCCCCACAAAGTTCACACTGTTTGATCTCGTTTTCATCCAGTGGTTTTTTGGAAGGAAAATCGGATCTAATTACTCAGGCAAGAGGGTTTCCACTTCCTCTAAAATATAGTTCCCCATAAGTGGAACTGTAATTTGTTCTGTAGTTGTATTAGAATAAATACAACAGGTTCTGACTCAGCAGGCGTCTAAAAATGACAGGCTAATCAGCAAGCAAACAGTATGGCTTTATAAGGGCAAGTAAAGCAGAGACTATCGTCACAGTCCAGCAGTTAGTCTCAAACTCTTCTGAAACAGTTGGACAATGGCCCTTGCCAACCCAGGGCTCAAAAAACCTATGACGGGCATGCGGCGGGAATGCATGGTCATGCAATTCTCCTTCCAGGCACGATAATACAGTCTCCTTCTGTGGGTAACCCCCAGTAGCTAGGCAGAGCTAGAAAGAGCAGGTGGTTCTTGGTGATCCTGCTCTGAGTGGGATCTCCCAGGTAATGGCCCTCTAAAACCTTTTCTTTCCAGGAGAAATAGACATTTACAACTTCTTAGACTCAGCACAGGATTAACGGCAATCTTTATTCTCTGCCCCATCCTTTTATTGCACTGCCTCAAAGAGAGCTTTTAAGTTAAGAGCTCCTTTTCCTTAACAGATGTCATTCTAACAAGACTTCATAAGGATCGACTTTTTTTATATATATATACAAATATGGGGTGTGCACAAGGAAGGGAAAAAAAAGAAAAATGAAAAGAAAGAAAGAAGTAGAAGAAAGAAAAAGAAGAAAGGACGGAAAAAGGAAAGCCAGCATGTCCAAACCTGACACTAGGGATACTGCCTCCACTCACCACAAAACCCAAGGACAGGTATAACTCTCCTCACTTTACCCATATGAGAAGGTGAAGCTTGCTCTCTCATGCAGTCTCTCACACTTTCTTTCTATTTTTCTAATGCTCTCAGAGACTTCTGTCTTAGTCAGGCATCCCTGCAGTAAATTTCTTTAAGCTATAATTGGTTAATCTTCCAGATTCTGGGGGAGCCTTTGTCAGCAGAATTCCTGGAGGCGTAATACCTATCTGATGCAACTGAGTTGCTGAAGTAACAAATGACTGACTAAAGATATGATTCTTTGCTCATACTACAAATCCTGTTTTACCAACAAGTATTTTTCAGGAACCTTATAACAAAATATGTATGCTTGTACATTTATCTTCCTACATTTATCTTCCTGTATCTTATTTCCTGTCAAACAGGCTCTGAATTTGTGAATATAGTGATCTGTGTGTGTCATTGGGAATTGTGACCTCAGTCCGTGCACCTGCTACCCTCAACCTTAGAGATCCCAAATGTGCAGGCAACATTTGAACTACTTTCTCTAAATCAGTTCTGGTTTTTGCTCTCTCTCTGAGCATAGATGTGACTCACAGTCACTTGCGAAAGCCCTACAAGTAACAGTTCAGTGTGTGATTAATACAGATAGCATGAATGTGAAGTGTGTGGGGTCAGGTAGTTACCAAATAGTAATAAAAAGGTTTGGAATTACAGCTTTACTGGGGCATCTGTGTCACAGCATTTATCTCCTTCCTGTCTGAGCAAGCCAGTTGTTGCTCTTTGACAACAAATAAATGCTTCCACTGCTCATGAAATAGTTTCCCACACCTTTATTCTGAGGCAGCTAGATTTATATTTAACATAGGAGTTGCCCTATTCAGCTGCTAAGTGTCCTCACAACAATATAATTTAGCTCTGCTCTCTGACAGACTCAGAAATTAAAAAAAAAAACCTAAACAAATCCCATTCTGAATTGCTCCTTTTGAAGTATCCCAAATGTTTCCTGAGCAGTCACACCTTTCAAATACTATACAAGTCCAAGCCTGCTTGTGACCTTCTAAGACAAGTGAGAGTCACCACTCAGGTGGAATCTGGAATTTGTAACCACAAGCCTTTTGCCCCTTCAGTGCCTCCAGGAGTAAAAGTATACTGTCAGTCATTGTTGTAAATAAAGTACTTACCATTCTTTTGCCAAAATCTTGGCATGGGCTGTTAATAGAGCTTCCTTTTAGCGGGACCATCCCTTTGGGGCTGTTGTCAGCCTTCCGCTTGTAGAATTCAACTCCATCTTCTAAGAGCACGACCCACATGGGCTTCCAGGTATTAAACATGCTGCCCTGCATCAATAAATCACTGTGTATATTACGTTCAATAAATCACTCTTCACATGATATCTGCTGAAGATATGACCTTTCAGGGAGTGTCTGACTGATGCTAAAATAACTATAGTTAGTGTCTCAAGAGGAATATACCACAACCGCACTCATCTTACTATGCTGTTTAAAAACATTGTTGTTGTTCTTCTGACCAGCATTAATTTCCCCTTGTAGTCATCCCAGCCATGAGTTTTTCAAAATCGCATTGCCTGCCTCAGAGGTGTTCCTTTTCAGTATCAGTTAGTCCCAGCCACTGTCTTCAAGATGACATAGTGGCAATATTCTGAATAATCCTCAAAATTTCTGGATGTAACAGGCACATTAGGACTGTCTCATTAACTTGGGCATCCCATGCTGTATTTAGGACTTGATGCTACAAGACAGTCATTGAGGCTTGGCTGTCTGATAAGAAAGCACACATCTCAGAGGACTTCTAGACATAGAATCACAGAATGGTTTGGGTTGGAAGGGAGCTTAAAGATCATCTAGCTCCAGCCCCCTGCCATGGGCAGGGACACCTTCCACTAGACCAGGCTGCTCAAAGCCCCGTCCAACCTGGCCTTGAACACTTTGAACAAACTGTAAGAGTAATGAAGAGTTTAAGGGCCTGAGGCTGCAGATCTCTAAATGCTGCGGTGAGGAATCGAGGTGCTTCATTTCATCTTTTAAAGCTTTTACTTCCTATTCCTGAAACACAGCTGTTGGATGGAAGAAATACAGAGATAAAGACAGGGCTGGATCCTACATATAATGAAACTCTCAGGGACTCAGAGAGGAACAACCTGTTTCTCTGTGTTGAGCACGATTAACCGCTAGAATTACTAAGACTGTTGCACTCTAGCTACGTAACCTCTCTGGTCCTGCCTGCAACCAACTTCAAAAGTGGTCACAATCCCAGATACCCAAGTGACTTACTGCTCAGCCAAATGAACATTTAAATATGCGGAATACCAACACTTCCTCTGAAGAGTTACCAAAGCACAATCAACATCTGTGTGCCCCAAATCGGAGGCCATCCTTCAAAAATATTAGCTTCCCTTGCTCTTTCTGTTACCAAGAGAAATCTAAATTTATACTCGTCCTTCTCCACACACGGTATCCCTGTCCTCCTCAGACCATGGAGCAGTGCTAAAGCTGCAGACAGAAGCAAGGCAGCCACTGTTGTGCTGTGAAAATGGCTTGTTTTGATTTGTTACAGCTGAGACCTGTGCAGAGTTAGTTACATTTGCGTTTGGTATTTTGGCAAAAGTGAATGGGACAGAATTATTATTATTATTATTATTCCCCAAATGAACCCTTTGTCTGTCACATCCTTTTTTGCTGCCCTACCTTCCAAGAAAGGCCTTTTGCACTCTGAATCAAGACCTTATGTTCAATGACAGGGTGGGGAGGGAAAACTGTCAGCTGAGATCTCGCTAAGAGCAGGACCTGCTTCCAGCCTCTGCAGCCCTCACTGGAAGAAGGTGCTCCACAAATGAATGCTACCTTCTAAAGGAAAGTCATTGCCTTGGAGGCTCTCTGGAAACCCAGCTAAACAGGGAACTACAAAAGAGACTCTCATCTGGGTACCACATATAGGTTTACTTTTGTTTTCTTTTGATTTTTTTTTTTAATAAGCCATAAGGATTTATTATTTTTTGAGAGCCCAAATTGACCCACTGGTTGATTTTCTGCTAAGATATCAATTAAGATGATTAGCCAAGACAAGGGCTGCTGCAATTTCCTTCTTTTTTTTTTGTGGGTTTACCACAGGTTACAATACTTCTGCTCATAAACAGACAAGTCCAGTACTTCCTGAAAACCAGATTCTGACATGCTCTGCCAATGGAAGCTACCGTGCAGCAGTGTCAGACTGCCAGTCTCAGATCCACACCATCAGCAAAGCCAAATATGGTCACACTGTTCTTATCTAAAACATCTCATGAAAGACAAGCAAGCAGGATACTGGATTTGATTTTCCTGGATGAAAATTCAAATTGTCACACCTACTCCAAAGACTGCAGATACAAACAGGTGTTCCTTGAATTGCTCGCTGAAATCATTAGCCACTTGAAAAAAACACACGCAACTTCCCTTTGGTAGCACAACTTAGTTTTATAACATCTGCAGCACTACAAGATTAGAAAATTAGCTGTTTCTTATGCTCAAAAGATGACACCTAGTCCCCAAAATATACAAACAGATGTTTAAGCTGACCTAAATCAACACTGAATTCTGAACCCACATTTACTAGAGGTCGCATTGTCCCAGCTAATGCACTGACCCCCAAGCACAGCACTGTTCCCCAGCCGAATGTAAATATCAAGAGGAGAAAGCCAGTGGCAAATGGCCTTCACTCTCTGCAAAGAGAGCGGTGGCTGCATGGATGACTCCTTTGGGAGGTCAAATCCTTGGTTTCACTTTACAGGCATAAAGGAGAGGAGGAGCATACATAATCAGCAGGTAGGGTTAATCAGGAGCATGCTCATCCTTGCGTGAAGCTCCGGTTGTGGAATTCACAGCAGCCTCACTGATGTACTGAACAGCTGGTACCCATGTGATTTGTATCTTCTGCTCCTTCTGCTCTCCAGCCCTTCCTCTAGCACACTGCTGTTCCTCACCACCAGCATAAGCTCAGTTCTATAAGGACCCACCTGCGAGGCTGTTCTAGGAAATGGGCACAATTTCGACTTCCCTGTTGCCATTGCAATAGCACCCAGCAGCAACTTTAGTAGCACGTACACAGAGATACTTTTTGGGGACCCAGCAACTGCAGGAACATGAGCAACTGACACTGGCACATCTGCATGCATTCCCCAGCATACCCAGCCAGGCACAGAGTTTGGGATCGTTCCAGTGTCTAAGTTTCCAGCCATTCCCGTCATGGAGGAATATAGATTGTGAGCCTCTTGCTCTATGTATCAGGCCACTGGAACTAGAGATCTACAATGTGTACAGCACAAATTTGGCTCTGTCCTTCCTCATGACAGCATCACTGCCACTTTGCAATTACTTTACAAACTTAGTTCCTTTCAGTGTCAGTGGAAATAAGACAAGGAGTGGCCTCTTCACAACAGTGGTCCCAGTTTAGAGATCCCTCCAGCCAGCTGTTCTAATGAGTGAAATTCTCATTTTGCTGAGCAGAGACAGCACAGGAGAGAGCTCCTCTCTTGCACCAGGATTGACACCATTTAGTTAGGCTGCTTTAAGCCAGACTGATCTCACTAAGGATTTAAATGAAAGTCAAGGCCGTATCCTATGGGCCCTATCACAAAAGACTCGAGAGGAGAGGTTGCTGTGGGGCAGCAACTGTCTTCCCAAAGAAGAGAAGTGCCCGTGGCCCCACACACTCTCTCGAGGCCAACGTGATCTGACCTCCTTAATCTCACTATGCTTCCTTGATGCTTAACTCAGCAATTAAATGCAACAGAGTAGGCTGTGGCCACTTCAAACTGTTACCTGTTTTGCAAAGCTTCTACTGAGGGAATTAGGTTACTTAACAAAAATACAAATCTTTTGATCAAAAGGTACATCTGAGATATGTGCAAAATGCCTTTTGTAGTATTCTGACAAGATACGACTGGTAGCAAGTACCTCTATAATCACTAATATCACATAGTTTTACTGCTCAAGGAATTCTGTTCATTTGCCTTTTCTTTTTGGAAAAAGATGATCCTTTTTTTAATAACTGAAACCAAAGTACATTTCGCTACGCCTTCCCAATCTGTTCTGAGTTATCTTCCTCCTCCCCTCAGTCCAAAACTGCCCACTTACCTTCTTAACCAAGTAGCCCTCCCTTATCCGCATCGGTTCTCGCTCCATGTCTCAGGAATCCCACTCTCAGGTCTATCAGCACTGGCAGTTAAGTTCCTCTGGCAGCAAAGTCTGTGGGTTGGCGTTTTTACAGTACAGCTGTGTCACTTTCACAAGTTCCTCTGCCTGCTAATCACATGAAAACAAGCCCATTTCCTCTTACAGAGTGAGAGATAGGGAAACGCATAAGCACGTGTGTATTTATAGTATGCCTCTGACAGAACATGCAACAGCCTGACAAAATGCTCAACTGTATCAAATACAGGCAGCCTTGATGACAGAGTCCTGAGAAATTAAATAAGCATTTTAGTGCCCAGTCCCAAGAAATCAGGCCCAGTCCACAAACACATGCACTCTAGCAAAACAACAAACAGGGCGGTGTACTGTGTTGCTGCTTGGTGCATGCTAAAAGGATCTTGGAGACAGGTTTCCAACTCTCCGGTTCTGTCACTTCATCCTGTCTTCGCAGTCTGACTCCCAGTGGGGGAGCACGTGGGGTCTGGCAGCGAGCTGGAGGGCCCTCGCTTGGTTAATGACCATGCGCCCTCTGCTGATACAAGAAATTTGTTCATCAGACTTGATCGGGTTTTGGAGTTTGATTCTGAGGCCTTCCAAAGACGTTAGCTGTCAAATACGCATAAGTGGATTAAACCAGCAGATTACATAAAGCACCACAGAATGTCACTTTGTATGAGCATCTTCTACTTGCTGCAGAGCTCATTTGGCTATATTTGGTAAAAGATAAGGCAAAACCATAATTTTCCAAAAGCTGATATATAGCAAAGTCACAATTCCTCTTCCCTAGACAGAAGGAAGGGTGGTGGTATATGGCCGGCAATACGCAGGCTGCCGCATTGCGAAGAGCAAAGTATTCTCCCATGCACAAGACTCCAAGTCACTTTTACAGCTGAGCCCATTCAGATAAGGGCTGATCCCAGGGTTACTCCACCTGTCACCTCTGCCACTTGTAAAGATCCCCGAAGAGGGATTTCTTCCACAGACAGAAATTCCTGCTCTCCATTTGACTTTGTTTGTCTCAGCCTTTACTCAAAAGTATACAGAAGTCTGACAAGGTTTCTATGCTTCCCATAGAGCGCAAGAGCTCTCAGTCCCCAGGTGTAAGAAATCAAGCAAGGAAAGGAAGAGACCAGCAGGGCTGAGTCAAGACTTGCTGGTCAAACTAACGAGCAAGATGGAACTGCACAGGCAGTGGAAGCAGGGACAAGTACCCTGAGAGAGTATAGGGATGTTGCCCGGTTGTGTAGGGATGAGGTCAGGAAGGCCAAGGCACAGCTGGAGCTGAATTTGATGCCAAGAATAACAAGAAGGGCTTCTACAGGTATGTCAACCAGAAAAGGAAGGTTAAAAAAAGTGTACCCCCCATGATGAACAAGAACGGCGATCTAGTATCAACAGATGAGGAGGAGGCTGAGGTACTCAACAACTTTTTTGCCTCAGTCTTCACTGGCAACCTCTCTCCTCACCCCTCCTGAGTCAGTGGACCACAAGATGGGGACGAGGTGGGTAAAGCCCCTCACACAGTAAGGGAAGATCAGGTTCGTGACCGCCTGAGGAACCTGAATGTACGTAAGTCTATGAAATGCATCCCAGGGTCCTGAGGGAATTGCCTCATGTAGTTGCCAAGACACTCTCCATGATATTTGAAAAGTCACGGCAGTCAGGTGAAACCCCTGGTAACTGGAAGAAGGGAAACATTGTGCCCATTTTTAAAAACGGTAGAAAGGAGGACCCTGGGAACTACCAACCTGTCAGCCTCACCTCTGTGCCTGGGAAGATCATGGAACAGATCCTCCTAGAAGCTATGCTAAAGCACATGGAGGACAGGGAGGTGATTCAAGACAGCCAGCATGGCTCTACCAAGGGCAAGTCCTGCCTGACCAACCTAGTGGCTTTCTGTGATGGAGTGACTACATCCGTGGACAAGGAAAAAGCAATAGATGTCATCTATCTGGATTTTTGTAAAGCCTTTGACACAGTCCCCCACAACATCCTTCTCACTAAACTGGGGAGATATGGGTTTGATGGGTGGACTGTTCAGTGGATAAGGAATTGGTTGGATGGTTGCTTGCAAAAAGGGTAGTGGTCAACGGCTCAATGTCCAAATGGTTGCTGGTGACAAGTGGTGTCCCTCAGGGGTCCATACTGGGACCAGCGCCGTTTAATGTTTTCATCAATGACATAGTGAGATCGAGTGCACCCTCAGCAAGTTTGCAGATGACACCAAACTGAGTGGTGCAGCTGACATGCCAGAAGGATGGGATGTCATCCAGAGGGACCTGGACAAGCTGGAGAAGTGGGCCTGCGTGAACCTCATGAGGTTCAACAAGGCCAAGAAGAGGCTCCTGCACCTGGGTCAGGGCAAACACCGGTATCAATACAGGCTGGGGGATAAACAGATTGGGAGCAGCCCTGCCGAGAAGGACTTGGGAGTACTGGTGGATGCAAAGCTGGACATGAGCCACCAATGTGCACTCGCAGCCCAGAAGGCCAGCCGTATCCTGAGCTGCATCCAAAGAAGTGTGGCCAGCAGGTCGAGGGAGGGGATTCTGCCACTCTAACCGCTCTGGTGAGATGTCACCTGGAGTCCTGTGTCCAGTTCTGGAGCCCTCAGCACAAGAAGGACATGGAGCTGTTGGATTAGATCCAGAGGAGGGCCACAAAGATGATTCGAGGGCTGGAGCACCTCTCCTGTGAGGAAAAGCAGAGAGAGTTGGGGCTGTTCAGCCTGGAGAAGAGAAGGCTGCGGGGAGACTTTACAGCAGCCTTTCAGTACCTGAAGGGGGCCTGTAGGAAAGATGGGGCTTGTTGCGATAGGACAAGAGCAATAGCTTTAAACTAAGATTTAGACTGGATATAAGGAAGAAATTTTTCACAATGAGGGTGGTGAAACACTGGAACAGATTGCCCAGAGAAGCAGTGGAGGCCCCGTCCCTGGAAACATTCAAGGTTGGACAGCGCTCTGAGCAACCTGGTCTAGTTGAAGATGTCCCTGCTCACTGCAGGGGGGTTGGGCTAGATGACCTCTAAATGTCCCTTCCAACTGAAAGCATTCTATGATTCTGTGATTCTGTTAAAAGTCCTAGTTGCTGACCAAGCCAATCATTCTTTAGGCACTTTGCAAATCAAAGATTCAATATATGCTCTCCAAATCTCTGGCTGTCACGTGTATTTGACATCAGCCAACAGATTCTAAAATTATTAGAGAGACAGAAACTCACACATAGCTAATAAAAGCTTCATGCTCTCTCAAAACCAAGCTAAAAGTAAAAACTTATCACTAAAAAATGGTCAAAAAGCTCTGTGTCACATTTACAGTAAGGAATCTGCCTACCAGTCCCAGGACCTGGAATGAAGTGAAGATGCATTCCAGAGCTGAGATGATCTAACTGAATTTCTGAGTTATTTCTGTAAAAGCTCCCCTTTGTTTCCCACAAACCTTAAAATGATGCTTGATGGACTCAGGAGCTTGTAGATGACCCCTGTATAATGTCTTTTTTGGTCAGTAATTCCTTTTGCATTAAGAAGGTGAATTATTTACTTTTGTTCTAGTGGTTCCATCTTTGGGAAAAGGTACACTTTTTTGTCTCTCTGATTGGATAACCCAAAAATACAGATCATAGACAACAACAACTCAAATTAAATACCTCTCACTGTGTGGTTGGAAGTCAAACTATCCCTTTATTAGCTGCCTTGAGGACATAATGCTACAGAGCATGTGGCAAGCATTAGAGACCAAGAACTGGCTCACAGTTAGTACTTCCTTCTGTCTCTACCTTGCTGCCCCTCAGACCTGACGAAACGAAACCCCTTCCCCAGCTGGAAGGGCTTATGGGGAACAAAGACAAAATAATTTGCCAGCATTTTCCTCCCTGCAGGCAGCCTTTCAACAGTTTTTCCTGCTGGTCTGCTGCTGCTGGTTCAGTGTTTGTGCTGAGTCAGGATGACAGGGCCCTGCACAATAAATTGATGATTTGAAATGTCCAGGGACAGATCCTCTTCAGCAGAACATCTATATAACCTTATACTAAAAAGAGATTTAATGTGAAAAAAAAAGGATGCTGAGTCCACAATTTCACAAAAGCTCAGTTTCTCATTTACCTGCATGAAAAGCACTTGGAGGTGTGAAATGCAATTCTAGACACAGTGGCACCAAGCCAATGACTCCAGAATTTACCATTAGCTACCTAAGCAACTCAGTGCTAAAGCACAAAATTACCTCCATCCAATATTAGCTGGAAGCAACTACTTTCACAATGCTTTTTTTCTACATATTGTTTCTATTTAATCTTTAAAGCTCAGCTATTCCTTTTGCCCCTCTACCTTACGAGTCTGGAACAATCCTTTTCTTTTAACACTGAGGCTTGGTTTCACTTAACACACATCACCACAGGGGAATCAGCGCTTCATCTTCTCCCAGGCAGAAATGTCCTGATCAGCTAAATCATTCATGTGAAGCAAAATGGTCCTTAGTCATACAGTGACCATGGCAGGTGTGAGGGACAGCCTGGACTGCTGATGCATGTCTTCTTTGTGCAGCCACTCCTAAAGAGCAGCACTGGGCACAAGAAAGAGGAAGAGCTGTATTTCTTCTAGCTCTACACAGAGGGAAGGACAGAGCTTTGTCTGGAAGAAAGGGACCTGCATTGTGGAAACCTGCTATAACTTACCCTGTTCTCCCAATTCTGTCCAAAGTAAGGTGCATGATACTGGATTAGCAATACTTGTCACAACAGCACAATCTGCAACAGAGGTGAATATCTTAGTTCAGTTTACTGGCGAGGGATCTGTTCTTGTACAGGAGATCTTGCTGCTGTATTGTGGGGTTTTTGTCTGCTACTTCAGTGTCCACTTCTGCAAGCATTTAAAAAAAAAAAGCAATCAACCACATTTACCTGAGCAAGGGATCTAGCTGAGAGACTGATGGGCTTTCTCATGAAAATTGGAACCATACCTTTGCAAATAAATGTGTCAGCTGCAAGGAAGACAGGCGGTTTCTCAGCTTGTTACATCAGCTTCACTGCTCTCTCTACTAGCCCTG